CGGCTACGAGATGTGTGATATTACTTTTATTGGCAATTGGCGTTACCATGGCGACATATTTCGCTAACGAAAATTACAAATTTCCCATAGGAAATGAATAGGAGAAAACTTTTCAAAGAAACTGAGTAACATGGGGAGCCATTTTGATTCAACATTAATGGAAGGCACCTATTATCACCTATTGTTATTATTAATGAGTAAAAATAATTAACATAAATTATTAATTATTTGTTTTAATAATTACACATAATAACATTAATAATTATTAATATTAATAATGTATATTTAATATTACTTATTAATATCAATATTATTATCAAATATATTAATAGTTTTTATAATCAATAAATCAATTATATATTAATAATTAACTATTAATATTATTAATTATTAATAATAGTTATCAATAATAATAATTTAATAATAAATAGGCAGTCCCTGTCAACGTTTCTCCAGGAACTTTCTAGTTTAAATATCCCATCATCTACAGTTCATAATATCAAAAGATTTTAGGAATCTGTAGAAATATCTGAGCTCAAAGAACTTGACTGATACGTCCTCATGGGTCCACTGCATTAAAATACAGTTCTGATTCTATTACATGGGCTCAGGAACACGTCCGCAGATTATTTATGTTTAACTCACATCATGAAGCAACTTATCCAGATTCTCCTGCAGTTCAAAGAAGTAGACGGAGGTGATGAGACCCTCACGGGATTTGGCCAGGCAGTCTCTGGACAGCTCAGCGATCTGGTGGTGGATGAAGCTGAGGACCCCGTCGGCCAGCGGGAGAACGTTCTCTGGAGAGAAAGCCTGGATGAACTCAGACAGCCTCTCCTCCATCTGCGCTGTGGCCTGAGCGACAGAGCAGAAGCAAAACAAGACGATGGAGAGCAGAAGGAAGACAGGAACAACGGTAATATGGGTGCTTCAACGTTCATACAGCTGCATGCGAGGGATTTTGAATATGCTGCTGGGTTGACTCACACGCTTCTATTAACACTTTTCTCCAAATACTGTAACTTTTCTTATAAGAAGCCCAAACAGCTTTTACCTCCAAAGAACTTCCTACAATTGGTAGTTTCCAACATCTTGATTTTTATCACCATAAAAGCTTTTAGCTCATTTCCTCTTCATGTATTTGTGATCGGATTAGAGAGAAATTAGCCTTTATTCAACTGTTCATTGCTGTGCAGGAAAATAAACTTGTTGTGTCTGACTGGGTGTAAGGGCGTAATACATGACATCAGAGGATATGGTATCATCAGGCTCTCGTTATGGTTTGGATGTCTGATATGAAATAAATACGTACACAAATCCCTGATTAGGGTTAAACCCAATCGGATTTTTTACTAAAAGAGGGAGCACATTTGAGTGTTTTTGTGTGTTACCTTTGGAAAGCGCTCTTTGTACACATGGTTCATCATCACTATCTCATTATCGTAGCAGGCTGAGGAGCGCCCCGGGCTGAAGGCAAAAACAGAAAACAAGCTTAAGCTTTGCTGCTGTGAGATTACGACGGGATTACGATGCGTCAGGTTTATCAACCAACGGGCAATTACCTAAAAAGGGGGATGACAGATTTGTGGGGGCTCCAAAACACGCTGCAAAAAAAATCAGCTTCACCACTTTAAATTCTTGTCCTTTGTGATAATAGATACCACAGCTTCAGTGACAGGCGTCAGCTGCTATCCCTTTTTGTTCTTTGAAAACTAAAATGTTACGTGCCGACTTCAACATGCCAAAAATAAAAATAAATATTGGTTTGGACCAGAGGTCTGAAACTTTTACAATCATTTTTGTCCTTTCACTCACTAAATAAAATGTGATCAGAACTGCCAGATTATCAACTGGTGGTCCAGGGGCTACTTCAAGTTTGTTGGTGGGACCTTTTCCAACAAGTAGGGGAGACATGAACATTTATTGATATTTTCACATTTTAAGGCTAAATAAATGACTAAATTCATGTAAAGAAGAAAAAGATATGTAGTTTTTTTTTAAACCAATTTTATAAAAATTTAAACTTTAAACTTTGCAGGTCTATGTTCACTTTTTTTTATTGTGGAAAATTGAATAAAGTATCCTACTTCGAAGAAAAAAATAATAAATTAAGTGAGTATAAACACTAGTCCAGTTTGCTGAATATCTAATAGAAAAGAAAAAAAAACATTTACTTTGACGTTGTTTTCTTTTCTTTAAATTCTTATTGTCATCAAATTGATTCAACATATTTCTTCTCAGCAACTTATCATAAAGGTATTCCAAAAAAATGATGGTGGATATGTGGAAAAGATCACACCATAAGACTAGAAGTCAGCATAAAGAAATGGCTAACAAATTACTAACATGATGTAGTCAACGTATTGTACTCTTTGGATTTGTACTATCATTTACATATTAGCAAATGAACAGAAAAAATGCTAAAATAAGCTTATTTCTGGTTGTTTGTATAAAAAGCAATAAAAAAAAAAATCAAAGTTTGAAAGAGCCATGCAGGGGGACCACCCTGTGGCCCCTGAGCTGCAGGTTGCAAACCCCTTTAGACTTTTAAAGTTCTCCAATTTACTCAAAACACTTTCCTGATAAACTTAAATACAACCCATGGATTGCTTCTTGTGGTACAAGTAGCTCATGAAGCTAAACTGAATGACCATACAAGATGTTTACGTTCTCATTTTAACTTATAGGAACTTTTTTAGTTTTAATAGTAATGCAGAGAGTGGTGAAGGCTGCACAGAATCTGATGGAGTCAGTCTCCCCACCATCACAGACATCTACACCTGTAGATGCAGGAAGAGGGCCACCTGCATCATGAAGGATCACACTCACCCAGCACACACACTTTTTTCCCCGCTCCCCTCAGGAAGGAGGTTGAGGAGCATTAAGTGTAGAACCACTAGACTGAGGAACAGCTTCTACCCTGAGGCTGTTAGACTCATGAATCTCTAACCAGAATAATCACTATAGAAAATCACATCATGTTGCTGCTGATCTGTTTCAATGTTGCTGCTGATCTGTTTCAATGCTGATGTGTTCATGCGTGCTCATCTGCTCACACAGACTCATGTTCGTGCTGCTGTTCAACGTAATGTTTTTAATGCTACTAGTGCTTAGTGTATTTTTAGTTGATGTTTATCTTAGTTCATATCTTTGATCTTATTACTGTTTTTCTTATACATTTTATTGTTGGATGTAACTGGGACCCTGTGTACATTATTTCGTTCCACCACATGTACCACATGAGGTGCGAATGACAAATAAAGAATCTCTGACTCTCTAATGAACAGGCCAAACACTGGCAACCAGACTCAACTACTACCACACATACTATGAATTTTCAACTCAGTCTCTGTGAATAAACCGAGTCAAAGTCCTTTGATTTGTTCAGGTTAAACAGCTTGAATCAGGTGAACTCTAATCAGTTGTAGATGTGCATTCAATGATTTAAATCTGTCTACAGGATTAAAATATTTTACAAACAGACAAGCACATTAAAATATGCTCACTTCATGGTGTGAGGCTCTAGTTAGTAAAAATAAGTCAAATGTTCACTAAACTCAGCATCATGAAACATAAACTTGTATTAAATTCACTCTTTAATACGGTTTGTTACAAAACCAGGAAAATAAAAAGAAAGAAATTAAACGCTAGAAAAGACCCAATCCTCTAAATCTACTTTGGAAAAGAGGATTTCTGGCAGCGGCCCACTGCTGATGCTGCTGACCTGAGGCTGCGGGAGCGCGGGCGCATGTGGGGGGAGCAGCGGCCCCCATCGTCGTCTGTGATGCTCTCGGTGCTGCCGAAGTGCTTGGACAGGAAGTGGAGCTCGTCCATGGTGGGCTGGGAGGGCAGCTGGTGCAGCCGCTCCTGAGAAGAGCTGGAGGACTGGAGCGAGACGGGGAGGACCAGGACGCACACATGGACGGAGAGGGGGGAACAGGAGGAGGAGGAAACATGAAAAAAAGAAAAGGAAAATATTACTGTCAGTAACATTTGAGGAAATGAGACTCAGAGACTGAGGTAGAATGAGCAAGGCTCTGACAGCTGTGTAATTACAGCATCCTGTGGAGCAGACTCCTCGACCCTCGTGTTTCTAGACACCGAATTGAAATGCTAATGAAGTCGTCCTACGAGTCGCAGGGCCACACTCATGAATCTGTCCATCAGCCCAAACTTTGTGTCACTGCTTGGTTTGAACCCATCAGAGCAAAGAGACCTGGACCTCGTCCAATTACGTGTCTAAGTGACAGATCAGTCCCTGAGTAATCACAGGTGACAGACTAATTGAAAATATTCAGACCAGAAAGTGGTGGATTGAAGCATGGAGACTCAATTTGTTGATTTCATGCCTAGATATATCTTTTGATTGCATCAATGTAGGTTTTTTCCCAGTCAGATCTGTTGTGTTTTGCATTGTCTTATCCTATAAAGTCTAACATTATCTGTCACATTCTGTTCTTTTCTGTTTATCTCTTAGCCGTATTCTCCAAAGAACCTAAAGAGGATGCAGGATGAGTCAGAGGCATAATGTGATTGCATTTCTTTGTTTTCTTTTACATTTTGTGGCACTTTACTGCTAAATCACATTCACAACCAAAGCACTGCAAATTAATGATAACTGTTAGAATATATATTTTTTGCTGTACAATATTTGTATACACTTTTTAACAAAAAAGTTTAAATTTTGTCATCTGGACCAGTTTCTTTAAGTGAGAAATGTTTTGCCCCCCCATCCAGAGGACTTAGTCAGTTTATGACCTGTCAACCAGATCTGCTGTGTTTCAAGACAACCTGCAAAACAGAGCACACCCATCCTAAACAAGCCAAACAATAAAAGCCTGCTTTTGAGATTCCAACAGGAGGTTGTCTTGAAACACAGCAGTGAAGGCTACCTATGGGACAGATCTGGTTGACAGGCCGTAGACTGACAAAGTCCCCTGGATGGTGGGGGGGGGGACCTTTCTCAATTAAAGAAACTGGTCCATATGACACAATTTAACCTTTTTTGTTGTTATCTACCTGGATTATTGAGCTTACAAATCTTTTTTTTTAAATATACACTTTTTAATTGTTGTACGATTAGTTTTACTTTGACCCCTGTTGCACCTCTGCCTATCTGTCTTGCGTTTCTATAGCACACTGTAATAATGCTCAGCATTTCTGATACTTTTAAACAGTGGTTCCCAATCCCCGGGTCACGGACCGGTCCATGGGTCAATTGGTACCGGGCCACACAGAAAGAATACATGACATACATTATTTCCCTTTTATTTAGTATCTGATTCTGAACCATGTTTTATTTTGGAAAATTACCCGACTCTTTCAATCACATCTGTCTATGACTCACTCTTGATGCAGCTCAAGATGTCTGCCTCGGCCACATGGCTCTTAAAAGGGCTGCTCCCACCAGTAACACGTAATCCATTATCGCAAATGACGGCAGTCTTAAAAGTATGTTTGAGACAACACCTCTACCGGTGCTCTGGATTAAAGTCATGGCAGAAAACCCTGAGATCGCCACAACAGCACTGAAAACCCTGTTGCCATTTCTGACATCCTATTTGTGTGAATCAGAGTTTTCTGCAGTGACAGCAACCAAAACAAAATACAAAATTACGGAGCAGACTGGACATAAGCAACATACTTTGGGTGTCATTGTCTCCCATTAACCCTAGATGGGACCGTCTCGTTGCAGAGGAACAAGCTCAGGGCTCCCACTGATAAAGTGTTATGGTGAGTTGTATTTTTCATGCACTTTGTATTTGTTTTTGTGGTGTGTCTTATGTTGAAGGTATGTTTAACCTCTACTATCATGACCGGAGAGTGTGGGGCTGAGAGGCGTTACTCATGTTACGATGTTGGCGCGATGTTACGAGGACGCTGCTAATAAAGTTGCATACACAGTGGATTCACATTTATTATTATATTTAGAAAACACCAGTTTTATGCCAATCGTATCATTTTATTTTGTTCTATTTATCCACCACATCTTAAAGGCCGATCCGTGAAAATATTGTCTGACATTAAATCGGTCTGTGGCGCAAAAAAGGTTGGCGGCCACTGCTCTAAAATACGTAATGTAACCTAGCTAATGACAAATTGCTAAAGATTTATGGTCATGCTGAAAAGTTCTGTAACATGCACGTAGCAACTTTAAAATGTCTTGTGTAGCTCACACACATGCCACAATAACAAAGTCACAGAGCAGTGGCTCAACAATCTCATGCTACGCTATGCTAACGCTCTGTCTGCACTGTCACAGTACTGTGGTGTACTTGTGATACTTTTATACATACTTAATAGACGTTACCATAATTTGGGTTTACCATCTGTTTCATTAGAACTTTGTATTAGTTGTGTATTTCTTTGTGTGCATAGTATATGTGATCCCATCACATAAAATCAGGAATGTAATCAGTGCTTAATTTGAGCCGGATCCTGTCGGAACAAGATCCGGGAACTCTTTCATTTTGACCGGGTGCGTTCTGGCAACTCAAATCTCCACCCCTAAAAGTCCAGTCATCATGCATTTTTATTTTGATTATTTATTAAAAATACAAAGAGAGGAGACGTTGCCCAGTCCACGGAGTGGATATTACAGCTGCAGCAGGCGCACCAGCTCGTGCACACGCTCCTGCCCAGCAGAGACGCTGACAGCATGACCCGCGGGGATGAAGTGTCTTCCTCAATATGGCAAGCCAAGTGGCCCACTAATAGCCAGACATGTGGTAAAAGTGGCTATTAATGGACCATTTGGCTTGCCATACCTTACGTACAGGAGCATCTCTAGATAGATCGAGTGCGCACAACTGCTGATGTGAACTCACACATACGTTTCAGACATAAATAAAAAAGCTTAGCTACAGTAACAACCTGTTGTTGCTCTCCAAAATAGTTGTTGAATCAAGTGTTTACAAATGTAGGTAAACGTAGATGTTTAACAACTCGTTAAAATAAGCTTCACCAAAATGCAGGACATAGTATCTACTTTATTCAAGAATTTAAGGGGGAGGAAGACCTACAAGCTTCCTCCACTTCCCCCGCTCCCCGCCACCCCACCCCACCCACCCCACCCCGCCCACTATTTGCGTTCCGGCATTGATCACTTTACAAATGAAGCCCTGGATGTGTCAGATTTGGTCAAACTAAACTGAGCACATTTTCAGATTCCTGGCTTCTTAAAGCTACATTTTCCTATAGAGACATGGCTTAATTTGTCTGATCGGAATAACTCCTGGAAAATTGCTCTGAATCACATTTTTAGTGTATTCTATTCACCTCAAACCATATTTGGATATCAAGATTTTCCTGCTGGTTTTGAAAATAGTTTCACCAGCACCTGGGAAAAGTAGTGAGAATCGAAGTCTTTTCTGGCTAAAATTATATTTGTTGGTACTGCTCTGAAAAGTGCTTTAAAACACAAATGTTTAGACCCACATAATTTATTTCTGAATATCCCAACATAAGTGGCACAATATAAAACAGTGAGACAATCATGGGGATTTATTTGTGTGAAAATCACTGAGTTATCACTTTATAACAGGGCTTCATTTAGTCAGAACATTAAAAACACTCATGTGTTCTGTCAAAGTTATTAATGGTGTCTGGCTACATTTAGCTTCTAGTTAACAGACTAGAAAACACCAAGTGCTCTATTTCGTCCCATCCTCTCTTTTCTGTTTTTCATGCTCTCCCAGCCTGAAATTCATCATTTTCACCTCTCTCCTCCTGCTTTCATGGATCAAACTCTCCCGATGACAGATGGAGACACGAGCCAAGCCTCATAACTTACTCACCCTTGATGGGGCGTGAAAAAGATGTGTTGAGCTTGAAATAAAGTTTAAATTTATAACCAAGAAGCACAGTGACGATGGGATGAGAGGAGCACCATACTCTTTGATTTGTTAGCTACTTTGACTATCTAGCTGATTCTCTAAAAAAAAAAAAGATTCATGTTACTGAGATGGTGAATCTGCTAATCTGATACTTTAGAATAGTTGAGATTATAGAAAGTAAGACTGTCCTCATCATTTAACTTTCTAGTATCTCTGCATTACAGATTTTACTATTTGCTACTGCCTTTGAGACAAACGATTGAAACTCCAGTTGACGGGGGAGAGGGCAGGCCCCGGAGGCCATCTTAGCACCAGCAAACTGTTTTTTCTATGGAGTATGCGGTTTTGTGGGAACCAGTTTGTTTGGTGGCTCCTCAGATTGAAGAAGTCCTTTGGATTCATTCAACCTTTATTTAGACAGGTAAATCCCATTGAGCCTCGAGGACTCTTTTACAAGAGAGGATGAAGGCTGGAACGTCTCAGCAAAAAAAGAAACCGTCCAGATGACCTGAATGAACGTTGCTGGATTATTACCTGGATTATTGAGCATGAACTTTGGTATCCAGTCTGAATAAAAACTTTTGTTTTCCCTCTCAGTTTTTCCCTTTCGCAGACAGCCATGCCAGTTTTGTTCACTTTGCCATTTACCTCCACAGAGTGACTTCTCTTTGCAGAGGGACAAGAAACTGCTGCGGGAAATTAACATAAAGGCTAAAAAAGCTGCTCCGCTTAAAATCAACTTCTATAAATGCGAGCTTATCAATCTACTGAAATGTAACTGATCCAGGTCTAGACATGACTTCATTTGGGTTTGAATCTTGATTGGGGTCTGCCATTTAGGGACGTCTCCTCAACATGGATATATAACTATTTTTAACCTGTTATGATAACACAGTTAATTCTTAACACGATTGTTGCAGCACTGCTGTGTAAAGTTGTTAGTTGTAGTTTCACCTGGTTATTATATCGACTCCTGATTCAAATCAAGCTCTCAACCTGCAAAACGACACTCAGTGGAACAAACCGGATTCCAAAAAAGTTGGGACACTAAACAAATTGTGAATAAAAACTGAATGCAATGATGTGGAGGTGCCAACATCTAATATTTTATTCAGAATAGAACACAAATCACAGATCAAAAGTTTAAACTGAGAGAATGTATCATTTTAAGGGAAAAATCTGTGGTTTCCAAATTTCATGGCGTCAACAAATCCCCAAAAAGTTGGGACAAGTCCATTTTTACCACTGTGTGGCATCCCCCCTTCTTCTTACAACACTCAACAGACGTCTGGGGACAGAGGAGACCAGTTTCTCAAGTTTAGAAATAGGAATGCTCTCCCATTCATGTCTAATACAGGCCTCTAACTGTTCAATCGTTTTGGGCCTTCTTTGTCGCACCTTCCTCTTTATGATGCGCCGCGCCAAATGTTCTCTATAGGTGAAAGATCTGGACTGCAGGCTGGCCATTTCAGTACCCGGATCCTTCTCCTACGTAGCCATGATGTTGTGATTGCTGCAGAATGTGGTCTGGCATTATCGTGTTGAAAAATGCAGGGTCTTCCCTGAAAGAGATGATGTCTAGATGGGAGCATATGTTGTTCTAGAACCTGAACATAGTTCTCTGCATTAATGGTGCCTTTCCAGACATGCAAGCTGCCCATGCCACAAGCGCTCATGCAACCCCATACCATCAGTGATGCAGGCTTCTGAACGGAGCGTTGATAACAACTTGGGCTATCCTTGTCCTCTCTGGTCCGGATGACATGGCGTCCCAGTGTTCCATAAAGAACTTCAAAATGTGACTCATCTGACCACAGAACAGTCTTCCATTTTGCCACACTCCATTTTAAATGACCCCTGGTCCAGTGCAAACGTCTGAGCTTGTGGAGCTTAGAAATGGCTTCCTCTTTGCACTGTAGAGTTTCAGCTGGCAACGGCGGATGGCACGGTAGATTGTGTTCACTGACAATGCTTTCTGGAAGTATTCCTGAGCCCATTCTGTTATTTCCTTGACAGTGGCATTCCTGTTTGAGGTGCAGTGACGTTTAAGGGCCCGGAGATCACAAGCATCCAGTAGAGTTTTACGGCCTTGACCCTTACACACAGCGATTGTTCCAGATTCTCTGAATCTTTTGATGATGTTATGCACGGTTGATGATGATAACTTAAAAGTCTTTGCTATTGTACGCTGGGTAACACCAGTCTGGTATTGCTGCACTATCTTTCTGCGCAACAATGGTGGAATTGGTGATCCTCTTACCATCTTGGCTTCTGAGAGACACTGACACTCTGAGAAGCTCTTTTTACACCCAATCATGTTGTCAACTGACCTAATTTGTGTTAATTGGTCTTCCAGCTGTTCGTTATATGCTCAATTTCCTTTTATCAGCCACTTATTGCTACTTGTCCCAACTTTTTTGGGATTTGTTGACACTGTGAAATTTTGAATCAACATATTTTTCCTTTAAAATGTTACATTAACTCAGATTAAACTTTTGATCTGTCATCTATGTTATATTCCGAATAAAATATTGACATTTGCCATCTCCACATCATTGCATTCAGTTTTTATTCACAATTTGTTTAGTGTCCCAACTTTTTTGGAATCCGGTTTGTATAAACACTCATGATGAGGCAAGGATTATAATGTTTAATGTGAAGGAGAAGTTGTTACCGTTGAGCTGGGAGTGTTGGTGCCATATCCAGAAGAGGGCAGAGATGCTAAGGACCACCGCCTCCCATCCGCCCTGCAGGGAACACAAACCTCACATCTGTTAAAACTGAATGCCAAAATCTAGATTGTGTAATATTTAATAGAAGGAAAACACTTTCCTGACATGATAAATACCACTCTTAAGGCTAACCTTTTGTTGCTTTATAAAAATATCTAGCACACAAACTTATAGTGCGTCCAGTTTGTGATCCTCAGAGATGAGCACGGACGACTCATTTGGTCTGGTTGTGTTTGCTCCGTCGCACCGTGACGGACAGGCAGACAGATCTGATAAACGAGGAAGAAGGACTCACAGGAGCGCTGGGCTTCTAGAGCCGCCACAGATACAGCATCACGTCTGACTGAGGAGGTAAACAACAGTCTAACTGGGCTTCTTCACATCCATCTCTGTCCCCACAATGCGAGTCACACATATATTACAGCTGTATGGTGTAATAGTCTCTTAAATGCTGTATTTCTGTAAAGTCTTCATTATTATTTATTACCCATGCACTTTTGTGTTACAAAGAACAATTAATTGAAATAAACATCAAACTAAGCAGGAAAGCTTAGAGATGTTTCCCTACGTTCTCTGGTGAACACTCCACTAAATGCTGCTATAATGACTGAATCTTTAGATTAGAACACGTCACAGTTCTCGGGCACTCAAACCAAGTCTACATGCAGCATTTATATTATAAGAAAACTTTCATTCAGGACCTGCCTGAAACATAAAGCAACACTTCAGATCTTTCAAAGTTGGGTTTTGGAATGGTTTATACATTTAATACACTACCAGTTGTAGTTTTCTCTTTGAATGATTGAGTTTACATAAATCGGACCATCCCTACAGCCGGACCCACTCTACATGAATTGGAGCTCAAAGGCCAACATTCAAAAAACAGTACATTTTAATGTTCTTGTTTATTTCTTAATTATTATTTTACAGATGTTTATGTCCATACCTAGTAACAGTTGGCAAAGATGCTCAAGTGTCATCTGCATAAAACGATAGTAGTGAGTCTTGTTTTTAGAAACACAAACATAAATGATGTTGGGAACTCTGAAGCCTTTTAAATCAGAGTTAGCTAAATCTGCTTAGTGAGTTTTGAGTCTGGAGTCGTTATAGATGGCAGCGATTCACTTTGGCCTTGGCTGCTATTCAGTCTAGCATTTAGCTCATCAGTCCAGTCAGAGTTAAACTCTATTTCTCCAAACTTATGCATACAACAGGTAAGATATTAATTGTTAAATTTTATGCAGAGCCCTGTTCGAAAATATGAGAAGTTTCCCTTTAAGGCATTCATTAACAGATCTGATGGTTTCTATGTACTGTAAATGATAGCTTGTTTGAAGTGAGCTGACTCATACATTTTAATTCACACCAACAAGAATGGGTTAAAAAAATACAGTGTTTCATATTATAAACTGTCCACTGTAAAAAACTTGGAAAAAAGCAACATACACGTGGACACAGGAGCAATAAATCACTAATCTTATAATTTACCATAAGCCATGGCTGTGTGGATCTGTTCCCTGTTAGAAACAAGAGTAGTAGTGAAGACATCAAATGAAACCTTGTCAAGTCATTTTAAGTCATCAGGTGTTTGATTGGGTCATGGTCACAGATCTGTACCTGTCAGTCAATTTGCTTTTGGGATTTGAGCTGGTTGTTGCCATCGTGGTGAAATAGATACTGTAGACGCACACTATATTTATGCTTTAGCATCGCAGTTCCTCTCAATAGATGTGACTTAACCAAAAGTTCACAGAAGTATCTGGATGGTGAAAAACTTTATTATGCGTCATTATTTAAATTGATGTGAATGAAGCAGAAATATTAACACTTTGAACGTGCACAGAGCTCAGTATGAACAGATGTACAGACGTGTACACACACAGCCTTCTTGTCTTCTCATTACAGCTCCTGTGAGTAAACACACAGGAGCTGTGAATGTAATTAGGTGGCCTGTCATACACGGTACATGAGTCGGCCTGTAAACACCTGCGAGGCTCTCCAGAACAACAGACCTCTTACCCTGTGGCACTAGCTTTATCTCTCTCTGTTCTCCCTCCATCCAAAACATAAGAAGGGCCACATGTGGTCCTTGGACAATCACAGTCTGGCCCTCGATATCCTCTGATAAAAATAAAACAATGTGAAATACATATCTGAAAACCAAGATTTTAGTAAAAACCAATGTTCCCGGAAGAAGCCACATCACATGCAACATAACAATGCCATCAAACATGCAACAATGGTTAGAAACATGCTGTCATGCGTTAAATAATAAGCATTTCTGTGCATATTTTTGCAGATGTTGTGTATGACAGATGCAGGTAGTAGACAATGCCTTTGTTTCAGTTCAGTTTTTGGCCCTTTAATCCCACCAAATACATCAAATTGTTGTTCTTTACTTGACGATTACCCAGCTTCTTTTTATTTTATTTTTTTGCTCTTCCCATCTCTCACGCCACAACACTTTTACTCATGCAGAGAAGTATTGTAAAGCAGCAACCTTCTGGAGGAGGCGAAGGAGAAGTGTGCAGGGTTGCTTGGGGAGAAGTTTCGGGGGCTGTCCAGGGGGCTGCTTCCTGCCAGAATAATAAGACAAGCACGGCCATGAGACACATCAGAAGTGAGAGCAGGTCACAGCCGTTCCACAAAAGCAACAAAGCCTTTTAGTTCTGTGATTCACTAGGACAAACCTTTAGATAGTAACATTTTTTCTTATGATTTTGGTTCTTTTATTGATGTTTACAGTCTATTATTGTAGACTGTAACCTGGATAAAACATGTGTAACTAGTGTTGGCAGGTCAGTGCCCCAGAAATTCAAAACATGGGCTTGAACTGGTCTTTGTTGAAGCCAGTTTGAGCCCAGTCTCCTTCTTTAATCCCTATCAGAGCCATGCCAAACTAAGCCTGAAGTTACAAAACACCAAAACCCTTTTCTTTGCTTCTTCCCCACACCCCGCATTTGTTGTTGTTGATGTTTTGGCCAGCCACAACTCTTTTACACATTTTATCATTAAAATCAACACAAGCTTAAGCACAGACGTTGATCTGTTGCTGGTTTTCTTTGAAAGTGAGGGAACAGTTTGTGTCTCTTTTAAGGCCAGGTGCTATAAAAAATTGCTATAAAAAATGAAAACGAGATTAAAGATGTACGAAGAACTAATTATAATTAGCCATTCAGAGGAGATTATATCCAGACTTGGATGGAGGAGGTAATTTTGTGGCGGTCCTGCAGGTTGCCTGGCAACCCGAGGGTAAAAAAACAACTAAACTCTTGCCTCAAAAATCCCATGGTAAAGCCACGGTATGTCCCTGTTATTTTAGATTATCACACAGATTAAACAATCACAATATGAAGCCTTAACGGGATAGTTCAGTTGTTTTTTGAGTGGGTTTCACTGTAAAGATGATTCACTTTTAACATCTCATAAACAACTCTTTAAACAGCCTCAACGTGGAGAAACAAAGTTTTAATTTGATCAGAGTGACGAGCGTATAGCTAAAACCAAAATGGATTGGAGTTTTTCAGTTCAGTTCAGTTTACTTATACAACCCCAATTCACAACACGCGTCATCTAATGGCACTGTAGAAAAATATTCACATACTTTATAAAATACCAATTAGTCAAAGTTATCTACACATTGTTGCAACCTCCCGTCCTGAGCAGCACACTGGTGACAGTGGAAAACAGAAAAGTAATTGTTGTTGGAAACAGGTTTAAAATGGCTCCTAGTCGCTGATAGCTCATCAGAATCAAACTATACTTTTCCAAACTGAGGCTGTTCAAAGAGCTATCTACAACAAGTAAGATATATCTGTTTATATCTATTTTACATCTTTCTTCAAAAGATCTGCACTGTCCCTTATGATATGCTGTTAAGTGTTTTTCCCTCTTTCTCTTGCCTTAAGTCAAAAATCCTATCACCCAAAGTAAAAAATAATTTGATCTAGTTGCATTTAGTTTTATCCACAGAAAAAACTGACCAGAACATACTTTTTAGTTTGTTGTTGTGCAACAGAAACGTAATTTACAATCCTGTGGTTTCAAATGAAGGAATAAAGTTTTTGTTCTATAAACGGGACCATAGCGAGACATGGGAGATGTAAAAAAAGTATGATTTTACAACAAGTCAGTGCGTACCAAGGTATCCAGGGAGGGGCAGGGGGGAGTGAGGGCGAGGCAGCGTGGGAGATGTGGTCGTCAGGATCAGACTTTTCCTGTTGCTCGTGCGACAACTGCAGAGAAGACCACGGAGAGATCGTAAGCATGAGCGCATCCATCTTTATATCTGTGTCAGTGTGCATGAATGGAGCTGTGTGCACGGAGCGGCTGGCACGTGCAAGCGGGTGGCTTGCTGTGAAAGAACCACAGTGATAAAGGGAATTCAATTTCCTTAGTCATCCATCCCTGCCTGGGTCCCTGTGAGCTCAGATAAGAATGAGAGAGTGAGGGAGAAAGGCCTGAGTTGAGAATCATGGTGCAGAAACATCTAGTTTTCCATGCTCTCAGGTAATCATGGTGGGTCGTCCAGACTGAGTTATTTCCAATCTATTCGTTGACTTCAGACATTCATACAGAATCTGACTCACACTTTTAGGAAGAGAAGCTTTCTGCATTCATGAGCTCCTCTTAATTTGTCAGAAAAACATGATGCAGAAGTGTCATAAACATAAAACTGATTTTCTGCTGCATTTGTTTGGGTGAGAAAAACATTTTCCAAAGGGAAGTTTATTAAAAACTTTGTTTATGGACATGAGATATGTAGTATGTCGGGACAGCTTTGCTGTGGACACACTACTTAATTATTTATTCTTAAAGCTAGTTCAAGCACAAAGAATGTTAATTGTTTAATTAACAACGGATTCTTTCTTTTTCGAGTTAAATTTCTGCCATGTGACCAAGATAACTTGAGAGTGGAGTGTACAATTAGTGACATGAGATGCCATTTATCTTTGACCCATCAGAATAAATGCGGTCATTTATTTAACAGAATCAAAATTTAACATCAAAACATGTACACTTGATTTGCGGATCTGTTTCTGATCAATAAACTTAACAAGTTCAAACAAATAACAAGACAGCAGAGGATTACTGATGGAGAATAATTCATCTCTGAAGGCATTTAGCTTGATTTACTGGCGTTTACAGAGAAGGAGTAAATAAGTTTTAAAGAGGAGGATTTAGATGGAGGAAGGACAATGTGTTGACCAGGAATGGCACCCTTCCTCCGACCCCAGCTCAGCCCTCGGTACACTCAGTGCGTGACGACTCGTTACCTTTGCAGAAGATAAATCAGCTCTGGTACAGAGGTCCATTTCACGCTTCTTTCAGCGTCTCCGGTCAGAGTGGCTGGGAATCGTCAGAAGTCGTGACGAAGTACTACTTCCTTAGAAGGAATCTTCATAAGAAGTTGTAGGGCGTTACACCCGGGTGAGTTCACAGCGAGGCGTGCTGTGACTCCGCTGGAATGGACGGACCCTTTGCACATGGTCCAATTCCGCTATTAGAGTAGAGACGGTCAGACCCCAGCCTCCATTAAGAACTGAAAGTTCCAGTAAGACTCGCCGTAAGACAGTCTTCCAGTAAAACTGAGTCTCATCTTAGACTGAAAGTTCCAGGAAGACTTGTAAGACTGAATAGTTCCAAGAAGTGTTGACTTTTAAAGGGTATCCACTTCCTGTTATTTGGTACTTCCTGATTGGTTAACACAACCAGCAGGGGTGGAGTTTTAGTGATGTCAGAGGGTTATTAGGAGTCGCAGACAGCAGAAATGTTTTTAAGAACGGTTAGTACAGACAGGAAAATATTTTGAAGAAGTGAGAGGCGCCAGTTTCTTATTTACTGTCTGAGAGTTTTAAAACAAGACACTTCGTTCTCATAACTTGTTCTCTGACTTTTGACCGACATCAAATCCACTCCTCATTCAGACAGAAGATGAAAATGCACACTTACTTCGTAAATAGACATTTAACTTGTATGATATAAGTCTAATGAGGTTTAAAAATCATTAATACTGTTTCACAGTTGATTTAAATGAGTGGTTTACTTCAACATTAGAAATGGTATGAACTGACCACACTTTTGATTATCAAGATATTGTAAAATAGTAATGATAATATAAAATAATATAAACAAGAAGAGTTTTCTTTCAATTGATTAATTCAGGATACAATTAAATAGTCTCTTGATGAGATAATATGTATTTCTGGATTCAAATCAATGAAATAACAGTTCCTGTCTCCTGAAGGTCTTCAGAGACAGATTGATGTCGGAGGTCTAGTTCACTACAGATAAAAGCTTTTCAGAAACAATGACAATGACTTAGAAGCTTATCCCATAGAAACTAAAACCAATACGTAGCTGTTTTCACTGGTTCTTCTGGGTTTGTATCACTTTATCTTTATCCATTTGCCATTTACCTTTGATTTTGCCCAATGGTGAATAACTGAGAGGAAATAACCATACCATAACCAAACCATACCATACCACTTTATTTACAAAGCACTTAAAAACAGCAACAGACCAACCAAAGTGCTGTACAACAAAAACAAACAAGCAAAGAACACAGCATAAAATACTAGGGACGCACGATATTATCGGCATGGTATCGGTATAGGCCGATATTAGTGTTAAAATTCAATATCGGACATCGGCCATTTCATTAAAATAACTCGCCGATATAAAAGGTGCTGTTTTTGCCTGCAGCGGCAGCACAAGGTGATGATGGCACGTGCGCCTACCCGAGCTCACGGCGGAAAGGAAAATTCAAAATGTTGGTGGTGTGGAAGCTTTATTTTTCGTTGGTGAGGATGTCGGATTCCGAAGATTTCTGAACTACGTTGAGCCTCGCTACATCGTCCCCAGTCAGAGATATTTTTCCGATGTAACGTTACCCGAGTTACAAGCCGTCATTTTCGACGTCATTAAGAAGCTAATAGCTGATAGCACGACTTGTTGGGTGAGTTTTACCACAGACATTTGGACATCATGTTAGCCCCGCTAGATACACAAAAACTTTGAACTTAAAAAGTCTGTCCTTCATGCACAGGAGCACAGAGGACCCCACACTGCAGCTAGGAACCTGGAACAAGCCTCCACAAGTGAGACAGCATCGCAGGTGACTAATGCTAATAAATAACATTTAACACTTTTAATTTAATATCAGTTAAAGTGATATGCATATCATATGGCTGTTACTGACTATATGTCACCAGCTCTTACAGCTGTTGCACAATTTTTGTAGCATATAAGCCTAAATAAGAAGGCTATGTTCTGAAAAAGAACGTATATACAATATTGGTATTGGCATCGATTATCGGCCAAATAAGTTTTAACATATCGGCATATCGGCCAAAAATCCAATATCGTGCATCCCTATAAAATACATAAATCCACAGAGGTAAAGATAAGAAACTAAATTATTAAAATTATAGAATACAAATAAGTTAAAATCAACTCATACAGGGTCGAAAGCCAGAAAATAAAAGTGAGGATTTAAACATGACTTAAAAACAGTAAGCAAGAGAGCATGCCTGATATGTAGTGGTATTCCACAGTCTTGGACCTTCAACAGAGAAGGCCCTGTAACCTCTGAGCTTAAAACGAGTGCCTGGAACCAATAAAAGCATCTGGTCTGCTGACCTCAGAGAGCGCTGTGGGACAATATGGCTGCAGCAGATCACCGAGATAAGAGGGGGCTGAACTGTTTAGAGAATTAAAAACATACAAAAGGATTTTAAGATGAATTCTGAAGTGAACCAGGAGCCTGTGAAGGGAAGCCAAAACTGGAGAAATGTGCTCTCCTTTGCCTTTGTAACAGTTAGGACTTCTGAAAGACTTGATTGAAAGACTTTGGGGAGAATCTTTTGTCAAGCTAAAAAGGAATGTTTGTTACATTTTGTTAATTGGAATGTTTTTCGCCGCCTAGATCACAGATACTACAGGGTATTTTTTTTTTTTTGTGGACAAAATTATTAGGCACATGAAAACACCAAAATACACATTTTATTAGTTTTTTTTTTAATTATTGGGGACTGCCATGCAAATGCATGGCAGTCTATAATTGATTTATTAATTATAAAAACTATTCATATATTTGATAATAATATTGATATTAATACGTAATATTAAATATATATTATTAATATGAATAATTATTCATGTTATTATTTGAAATTATTAAAACAAATAATTAATAATTTATGTTAATTATTTTTACTAATTAATAATAATAATAGGTGATAGATAATAGGTGCCTTCCATGAATGTTGAACCAAAATGGCTCCCGATGTTACTCAGTGTCTTTGAAAAGTTTTCTCCTATTCATTTCCTATGGGAAATTTGTCATTTTCGTTATTCCTGCCATGCAAATGTATGGCAGGCACCTATTATTCTACACCTCGGATGTGTGTCTACATTTCTATCTCCGTTAATGCGGCCCGAACCACAATGTCTACCCCCACAAAAGTTATATCAAAATGACCGGCCCGGCTCCGAGATGTGTGCTTTTACTTTTATTGGCAATTGGCGTTACCATGGTGACATATTTTGCTAACGAAAATGACAAATTTCCCACAGGAAATGAATAGGAGAAAACTTATCAAAGAAACTGAGTAACATAGGGAGCCATTTTGATTCAACATTCATGGAAGGCACCTATTATCACCTTTTATTATTATTAATTAGTAAAAATAATTAACATAAATTATTATTTGTTTTAATAATTACAAATAATAACATTAACAATTATTAATATTAATAATTTATATTTAATATCACTTATTAATATCAATATTATTATCAAATATATTAAGTTTTTATAATAATAAATCAATTATATATTAATAATTAATTATTAATATTATTAATTATTAATAATATTTATTATTAATAATAATTTCATAATAAATAGGCAGTCCCCGTCAACGTTTCTCCAGGAACTTTCTAGTTATTTCTAAAAACATCTTCATTCACACAAAAAACTGAAAACACCCAAAATGCTGCAGTAACCATGCTGTAGCACTGCCAAGAAAATACACCAAAAACAGGAAACAGGGCATGAAAAATGTGCACAAACACAAAAATGGAATTTGTCATTATTATTGTTTATGATGTTGTTGAGTTGGTAGGCTAGATTAGAGGTGGGTCCTGATTGTTTTGAAAATGTTTTATTTTGGCAAAACCCTTTGCAATAACTCAATAACCCACCTTTGCAATTTTGCTAAATCAAGTTTTT